TTTTTTTTTGGCTGGGGCTGGGTTTGAACCCACCAACTACAGCATATGGGACCAGCTCTCTACCCTTTTGAGCCACAGGCGCCGCCCGACATGTCATTCTTAATGACATGGGCTTCCTGGATATGGTTCTGCCAGAATCTCAGGGGCACCTCTCTAGATCTCCCTTTCCAAACTGGCATCTCCCCCACCACCCCCATTTTCAGACTCTCCTTTCTACCTGTCCCTCCCTCCCTGTCTCCTCTGGCTGGATTTACAGTTTGGAGTTGGGGGGAGGCTTGGTGGGACTGGCTGATCAGAGTCGGCCATGTGATGGAGGTGGCCCTCTTCCAGTTGGGCACTGCCACCCTCTCGTGGTCCAAGCAGCACATGAACAGAACCAGGTGCTCAACACCAACAGCCGATACCTGCATGACAACATCGTGGATTACGCGCAGAGGCTGTCAGAGACCCTGCCAGAGAAGCTCTGTGTGTTTTATTTCCTGAATTCTGGGTAAGTGGACTGCTGCCAGCCCCCAGCAAAAGGGTGAGATGACAGAGAAGAGAATTATCACATGGGCCCAGCATAGTATAACTGACCAAGTATGGACTTGAGAAAGAGGCAGCCCTCACTGCACCAGGCTCCTGTGCTTCCCAGCCATGAACCTGGTACTTTTTCCAAAAGATTGTTTCCTTATCTCTTAGTAAAGGATGCCATTACCTGCCTTCCAGGATCTTTGTTGAGGCTTAATGAGGTAATATCTGCCTTACAGATACAGTCAGATTCCCTGCTCTCAGGTGGCTCAGTAGGGAGCAAAAACATCAAGTGATTCTTCCAAGAAATACAAAATTACAAAAAAGAAAAAACAAAACAAAATTACAAAGAAGGGCTGTTGTCTAGAGGAAGATTACAGGGAATGGTAAGGCCTAGAGATGAAGGTTGGGAGGACTGATCTGTCACGGCGGCATTAGGGAAGCCTTCCCTGAAGAAGTAATGTTAAGAGCTGAAGAGGAGATAATTAGGAAAGGAAGAAGGAAAGATGCTGTCCACTCCATCAGACATACTCTTCAAGGTTGATCACCATACAGAATAGCCTGTGTGAAGGCCCCACAGCATGAAGGGGCATGGTACCCTGCCACACTTGAACTGAAAGAAGGCCAGTGAGGGAGAGGAGAGGATGTGAGTTGACATTGGGGAAGGAAGCAGGACCTGTCACCCATGGCCTCATTGCCAGGTGAAGAAACTGTCTTCATCCTAAGAGCATTGGGATACCATTGGAGGGCTTCAATCAGGGAGGTGATATGGGCTGGTAGACAGCAATAGTCACTGTTAGGTGCCTATTTAGCAGCCAAGTAAAAGGTGATAGTCACATTGGCAGTAGCAGTGGACACAGAAACAGGCAGATGATCATAGCTTATCTGGGAAAGAACATTCCAACAAATCGTATTATTCTTATTGCCATTTGCATAGTACTTTGATCAGTTCCCCCAAATAATTCCTAGGAAGTGGAACTTACTGTCTTCATTTTACAAATAAGGAAACACCAGTTCAAAGGAAGGAACTAACTTGTTCAGGGTCACCTGCCTAGGAAATGATGGAGCCAGAACTGTAACCTCTCTGAGAAGAGAGGGGAGCTGGGTGCAGGAGCCACAGCTTCCTCAGCAGTTGGGGAACAGGCATGCTTGCTGGCTGCCTCCGCCATGTTTATCCTCTGTGGATTCCAGTGACTTCCATACTGTCAAATCTAGGAATCTCTGCTGCCTGGTCATACTCTGGTCCCTCAGCAAAATTAACAAAGTCACCACTCTCTGGGAATGCTTTCTGAGAACTCTTGCTCCCAGGGCACCTTGCTCTTCTAGTTCTCCCCCACTCTTTCTCAGTCTTCTTTGCAGATTCCTCCTCCTCTGTTCCTTGGGGCTGGTCCTGGGCCATTTTTCTTTATTCTTTCTTTCTTTGAGCCACAGGGGCCGCCCCTATTCTTTCTTTCTTTCTTTTTTTGAGACAGGGTCCCACTATGTCACCCTTGGTAGAGTGCCGTAACATCACAGCTCACAGCAACCTCAGACTCTTAGGCTTAACCTTCCAAGTAGCTGGAACTACAGGCGCCCACCACAGCACCTGGCTATTTTTGTTGTTGTTGTTGTCATTATTGTTTAGCAGGCCTGGGGCCAGGTGTGAACCCGTCAGTCCTAGAGTATGAGGCCGGCGCCCTAACCACTGAGCTACGGGTGCCGAGCCTGGGCTATTTTTCTTTCTGAGCCCTCTCTGTAGGTGAGCTCATCCATTCTCTTTGGATTGTTAAATACCATGTGCTGGTGACTCCCAAATTTATGTCTTAAGCCCACACACTTCTCATGTGTTTGAGACTCAAGGTTCTAACTGCCCACATGACATCCGACAAAAGTCTCTAATTTCATAAATCCAAAAGACAAGCAAGAGATGATGGTCTTCCACTAATACCAGTGTGGGATCATAGCACTGGTCTCCCTGACATTCCCAGGCACCTACCCCAGAGTTGCCTGAGAAGACCATTTGTCCCCACCCCATCCTGTGTCATAAAAGACATCACCATCTATCTATATCTCTGCTCAAGGCATAAGCCCCCACTCCATACACACACAGTCTTGCATCAGTCCTGCCTTGTCCATCTCTAGGATGTCTCTTAACTCCATCTACCTCTCCCCATCTCCACGGCTACCACCTCTCACCTGGGCATTCCCCTCTCAGATCTTCTCACTTCCACTTTTATTCCCTTCTACTTCATTAGATACAGTCAGAGGTTGCCTCCTAAAATGGCAGTTGAGCCATATCCCCTCTATGATTAACACTCTCCTGTGGCATCACATGGCACTGAGAAGAAAAGCCAGTTCCTTCCCAGCCCTGTGAATGTGGCTGTTGCGTGTCTCCCACTTCCTGCCCTGCCCTCCTTGGGCCTTGGCCTTGCATGCCTTCTCTTATTTTCCTGAGCACATTGAGTTCTTTTCCTTCACAGGACCTTTGTGCATACTGCTTCCTCTGCCCGGAAACTTCTCAGGACTCAGTATAGGTGCCACCTCCTCATAGAGGCCTTCTCTGACTCCTGCATTGGTCTGCTAGGGCTGCCATAACAAAATTCCACAGTCTGCATGACTAAACAACAGAATTTTATTTTTTACAGTTTAGAAGCTAGAAGTCCAAGATCAAGTGTTGGCAGCTTGGGGGTTTTTTTTGGGGGGGGGGGGTTTGCAGTTTTTGGCCGGGGCTGGGTTTGAACCCACCACCTCCAGCCTCAGGCGCTGCCCGCAGCTTGGGTTTCTTAAGGCCTCACTTCTTGTCTTACAGATGGCCTCCTTCTTGCTGTGTCTCCACTTGGTCTTTCTTCTGCACAATCCCTGGTGTTTCTGTGTGTGTCCAGACCTCCTTGTCTTATAAGAACACAAGTCAGCTTGGATTAAGGCTCACCTTAACGACCTCATTTTATCACTTCTTTAAAGGCCTTATCTTCAAATACAGTCACACACACAGGCCATTCTGAGGTACTGGAGGCTAGGGCTTCGACATAATGTTTTGGGGAAACACAGTTCAGCCCATAACAACCCCCTGTCTAAAGGAGGCCCCCTCTGGTTCGTCTCCCTTAGCACTGTGTATTCATTGTAGCATTATCAAAACGATCACTCTTCTTTATTTTTGGCTTTCATGACATATATTAGAACAAAGTTTCAGGAGAGCCAGAGCCCAGTGCTTTACCTACTGTTTTTGTCCCCAGCTCCTAGCACATAAAAGGTGTTTGATATTTACCAAATGAGTAAGTGAGTGGCTGTCTGAGTAATATCTGAGGATCTTCTGCCCTCAGGGTGTCTCTGTGGGAAGCTGCTGGATAACTGTCTGAGCCTTGCCCACCTTCTGGTCTTAGGTCAGAAGCCAATGACTTGGCCCTGAGGCTGGCTCGCTGCTACACGGGACACCAGGACGTGGTAGTGTTAGACCAGTAAGTGCAACTCACAGCCCTGCCACTTCAGAAGCCTGGGCCATGGGCTTATGTGGGGGGGGGGGGTGTGTGTCAGTGAGGCTCTGAGGTCAGTGAGTGCTTAGGCAGGGAGAATGAGGGGACAGGGCCACTGGAGGGGAACATGGCAAGCAGGAGGCCCCAGAGACACATCCTTGGAGGCTCTGTTGTCCACCACTGGGAGGGGAGGGCAGCTTCTGGGTAGCAAAGAATGCTTCTTAAGGAAGTCAGAGGTCCTACAACCTTTTAGATACTCAAAATGTTCCAATGGTGGTTTCCATGTACTGAGTACCTGATGTGTGCAAGACACAGGCCCAGACTTGGAGCATCATCACATTTGCAATGCATTATGTCCTTAAAGGAGAAATCCCCCCTATTTTATAAAGGAAAAATTGAACCCACAGAGGTTGAATGATTAGCCTCTGTTCTGCAGCCAGCAAGCAGATTTGCAGAAAGAGTTGGCCTCCCCCTGTGTCTTCAGAGGTGGGTCAGCAGTGGTCAGGGCCAGGCCAGGACATGTGTGCCACCTGGGCCTGAGCCCACCTTTGCTCCTCCCCAGTGCTTACCATGGTCATCTGAGCTCCCTGATTGACATCAGTCCCTACAAGTTCCGCCACCTGGATGGCCAGAAGGAGTGGGTCCATGTGGTATGCACTTAATAAATCAGCAACAGGTTGGTGCCCACACCCAAGCCCGGATGACACGGTGCTGTCACTCCCCACAGGCACCTCTCCCAGACACCTACCGAGGCCCCTACCGGGAAGACCACCCCAATCCAGCTATGGCCTATGCCAATGAGGTGAAACACGTGGTCAGCCGTGCACAGGAGAAGGGCAGGAAGGTAACCACATTCACACCTGTGCAGTCCAACAAAGAGTGAATGTCACCTCCATTGTTGTCACTCCTTGTATGCTAGATGCAGATAACCCAAAGGGAAAGTGCACCAAGGCCCTGCCCTCTAGGACTCTAGTAGGGGATCGGGGTGGAAGAGAGTGAAGTGCTCAGCAGAGGTTTGTGACTCCCTGGCAGTCTGTGCCCAGGCATGGACTAGTGTGGGTGTGGAGGAGGTACCACCTGACTGCTCCCAAGGAGTTGGGGAAAAGCAGAGGAAAGGTATGCTGAGCAGGTGGCCTGCACAGAAGTGAGGAGCTGGAGTGTGGGGTCAGGCCAAGGCAGAGATGAGCCTGGAGGCCAGCAGGACCAGAGGCCAGAAGACCCAAGGCTATGCTGAGGCCACAGGAACCACTGCAGGTCTTAAGACCCAAGGGGCTGGGCTGTTCTCCCACTGTGGGCTGTTGGGGTGCTGTGTGGACAGTGGATTGAAAAAGGCATCCTGAGGGTAGGTGACAAGGAGGAGGCTATTAGGATCCTAGTGAGACCTCATGAGGTAGTGTGTTGGAGGGGGCAGAGGCAGGAGAGACATGTCACCATTATGACAGTAAAGGGAGGCTTTTGGTGAGTAGTGGAAGGCTCTCTGGAAGGCTTCACTGAGAGGGTGGCAGAGCCAAACACTGGGTGTGTGGCAAGGAAGGACAGGGGACAAGGCCAGAGAAGCCCAGCCCATGTATTTCAGACGTTCTCCAGCCACTTCCATAAAAACCTAAAATTTCGGATGGGTGCAGTAGCTCACACATGTAATCCTAACACTCTGAGAGGCTGAGGCAGGTGGATTGCCTGAGCTCACAGGTTTGAGACCAGCCTGAGCCAGAGCAAAACCTCATCTTTAAAAATAGCCAGACATTGTAGTGGGCACCTGTAGTCCCAGCTACATGTGAGGCTGAGGCAAGGGGATCGCTTGAGCCCAAGAGTTTCAGGTTACTGTGAGCTGTGATGCCACAGCGCTCTACCGAGGGCAACAAAGTGAGACTGTCTCAAAAAACAAAACCCTAAAATTTCTCTGGTTGCAACAGGGATAAGGTACCAGTTTCCCATCCTATCAGCCCTTCCCTCACCTCAGCAAAGGCCTCTGAAGCAGCTCTAAGGCAGAACACAGCTGGAAAGTCATCTGTGGGCAAAAGGGGTCGTTGGAGGGTTTTAAACAGAGCAGAGGTTTACCCTGGCTGCCCGATGGCAGATGGGATGGAAGAAGTATCCAGTTCAAAGGTATCTACAGGAGGCAGGACAAGCAGGTCTGCCAGGAGGCATGTGTGCCCTGGCAGAGGGGAAAGAGTGGGTTCAGAGAAGTGGGCTATGCTGACCAGTAGGGCACAGGAAGGAGGGATGCAGTGCTGGTCACCAGAAAGGGGACAGGGAAGGCTTACGGTAGAGAAAT